CAATTGAATCAAGTTGAGCTCCTAGATCGAAAACGGGAATGAGAGGCAAGTAAGCTTTACAGAATCTTTTGGGAAAACTTGATACCATTTGATAATTATTTGGAATGAATTTAAATGTGTATATTTTGTATTTGTTTTGGTTTCTTTTTTTTTGCTTTTTGCTGGTGGTTTGTTCTGGTTGTTAGTAAATGTTGCATACTTTCTTTTCGTTTATCATTGATTTATTGATATGTTGGGATATATCTTTTTTGTTTTCTTTAGTTGTATGACTACAAATAAAAGTTACGCTAACGAAATGAATATAAATCAACTATACTCAACTGAAGAATATTGGCTGTTTGAATTGCTCAACTAAATGGGAGAGCGCACAAAATGTTTTATGCAAATTATTGTTATTGGCGAATAAAGCACAACTTTGTTTAACAATTTAGATTGAAACTTGTTGAGTTTACAAATTGATTTATGCTAATCACTGCAGCTGGCGTCATGATAATTAAACGAGTGGACGCAAAATATTTCCATTTGACAAAATGCGATCTAATTAAGAATTAATTATGCCATAACTGGTGGTTGAAAGTGGTGACGACGCCCAAAGGGGACCGCAAATAATTATAATAATTGAACGAGATTTAATTGTAGATTTTCGCATCTTGTGTTATGTTTTTATAGCAAAAATATATATGTATATAAGTGTTGCTTGTCAGAACTTTTTGGTAATGCTAGTAATTTAGGAACTTCTTTTTTGAAGAAAACGGATCTATTTTATTTAATTTTGTATGAAAATTTCGTATAAACTAATTATTATAATAAATGTTTCTTTAAGAATTCATCATTCGTCAGGAAGAAGAACCTGAGATCTAAACAAAAACCTTCAGCTAGAGTTAAATTCACATTCTAATTATCTAACGTGAACTAACGTGATGGTGTTAAAAAATTTACAAAGCTGAAAAGAATCATATGCTTTTGTAAATGTTTTAAATATTATTCAATGCCAATAACTTTTTTATAAGTTATTATTACACTTATTTTTTGCTAATGCTGCTAATTAGTATCCGTACACTAGAAAATATATCGAATTGATATATATTTTATTGCACTCCCTAAACCGTAAATGTATCGTTTCAACATCAAATAATAATTCATGGTTTTGCTTCAACATTTTGTGCGCACTTTGATTCTCAATCTAGTTCTATATATGATGTATCATGATGTTGATTCGGCTAGAGTACACACACACACATACAGATATATGTTATTCACAAGTTTCAATTCAATTTAAGTTGGCAGTTCTTGCAGTAAAGTCGCTTCTCAACATTCGGGAAGGTCGCTCAAATCAAGGCAATGAAAATGCTTGTAAATATTCAATGCAGTTTCTGGCACACAAGAACAAAAACAAAAAAAAGAATAAACACTCAAGGGGCAAGCCTGCCATTTTTCATATTACTTTTCTCTTTGCAATTTATAAAATATTTAAAATATTTTATTGGCTTTGGCATAAATTAAGAGCTCGTTGCTCACATAGCAGCAGGCAATAATATGAGCCAACAATAATATTTTAAATATTTGATATGCAAACGCGTAACGGGTATAAAATCAAATGAGGTAATACCATAAAACAATCATAAGTTGAAAGAAAAACCATTGAAAAGATAGAGACAGACAGTGTGGAAGAGAGACTAAAGAGAGCGAGACAGATAGTGGGTATCAAAAGCAATAGAATTATTTACAAGCATTTTCACTGTACTTTCAAATTACAACCAACTGCAAGACTTCAACGTAAATGACATGGATGGGGGGTGTTCTACAATTCGTTTTCAACCAAATGTAAATCCATTTATAATACCTAGATGTTCCAGAAATCTCGTTCAAATTGTTATAAGTATTTAAATTTTGACAAAACTAATTTTTGACTTGGGCAAGTCAGAATCCATCAGCTTCATTTAACTTTTTTCAATAAGTAGATATTATTAAACGATAAATCTAAAATTCAATTTCATCTGCTGAACTGACAAATATTTGATTTTGGATTTGTGCGACTCTGATCAGAGTCTTTCGGCTTCCTGACAATTGCTGCAGTAACTAAAGAGAACTTTAACCGATAAATGGCGCGGGCAGTTGGAATACCTAGGTTTCATTGTCGAGCGATTTGGAAAGCAGTTATGAATGAGAAACTCGAACGCTATGTAGAACACCCCCGAATGATGGTTTTTTTTCAGTGTATTTCATAAGTGATCGTTTGCGTGGTTTATTTTGGTACGCAACACATACACAAGACACGAGTGGGGATGCACGTGGTGAACGGTAAATAGAACGTAACGTAACGTAAAAGGTTGTTGCTGAGGCGTAGTTGTTGTTGGTTTTTATTTCAGAAAGTTTGACACTTACTTCCGGTGGCGGTGGCGGCGGCTGTGGGGGAGCCGGCGGCGTTGTCACGTATGTGTTTTTCTATGAACGTAAACGTGATGACGTAGTTGGGTTTACGTTAGCGTTACAACATCGAGAGGCAAAGGTAGAAAAGGTGTATAGAATGAAAAATGTATACCGAGCGCGAGCGTTTTGGTAGAGATATTTTTTGTTTTTAGAAAAGATATTTGTTGAAAGATACGACGCAACATAGATGCGCGTCACGTAGAGTAGTTGAAAGTGACAGCGCGAAAATAAATAGTATATGTAAGTATATAAATGTATCAGTGTATGTTTTTTTTTCATTGGTAACATGTATATATGTATGTTTCATGTGTGTGTGTGGGTGAGAAAAAGATAAATACATATATATTCTTTTATAATTAATTCGCTAAATATTTTGAGCTTAAACTAAAATGTTCATATATAAAACTATATGTAGCATGTTTGCTGCAAAGGTTTTGGTTTTTGTTACCTTAACAACAAACATGGAACGAAAAAAATTAAAAGCAATTAACTATGATTCATTAAAATATAGACTACAACTGAAGAAATGTTCAAAATTTTTGATGTGCTTTATATTTATTATGTAGGTAGTTTGTATTTGATATTTCATAGCTCATTTTGTAATTGATTTAACTTTAGTTGAGTTTAGTGGAAAATAGTTAGAAGCACTTTAATCTCTGTTAAAATTTACTCTACTGGACTAGGTTGTTACGGTGCAGCATATGTGTTAGAAGGAGCGCACTATACTATACGAATGTTTGATTTTACGTCTAGATTTAGTGGATGGGTGGAGAACTACACTCGTCTTTGTTTATATCGAGTTGATTTACTTTAAGCAGGTGCAGAGTAGGCGAAGGTAAGTGAGTTGGTTTTTTGATTTTTCTTAAAGTGCGGGCGTTTGAGGAATTCAAACTACATTTGAAGCTAGGTGTGGGTGCTGTTGGTGGAGGACTGGGTGAGACAAATAGTTCGTAAGTTAGAGCATCAGAAAGTACGATAGAGACAGAGTTAGAGAGGCGCAGAGGGAAAGATATAGATTGATTGACAGATAGATAGAGAGAGAGAAAGAGAGGTACTTTGGCCAGCAGTGTATTAGATATATAGTAGAGCAAAAGCGCTAGTTCTATTTATGTATTTTCATTATAGAAAAAATGTGTTGTAAGCTAATTATAGTACAGCGTTGGCTGGCAGAGCGCTTAGACTTGAAATATATCTATAGATATGTCGTATAGATACTATAGCTATTGATGATAAGTTACAACTATTCAGTATTGGACTAAAATATAGTTAGGTACGTTCCAAAGCGATTCATTTTGGATTTTAATGATCGGAAGTGGGCACGCTACGTTAATTGTAATATCAAGAAAGAGTTGAAGAAAAAAATGTTTGCGTAGAGCACCTAGGTACACTAATAGAGAAAAGCGTATGCGCTGTTTGGTAATTAACTGTAGGTTTGGGTTTACAAAAATCATAAGGGCATGTGTCTTGGAGAAACAGTTCAACAGTTACAGAGAGAGAATTAGAGAGAGAGAGAGAAAGATGGGGATAGAGATAGTGAAGAAATCAAGATAGACAGAGAGTTGAAGTTACAGGGTCTAGTTATTTATTTTCTTTTTAAACGTAATTTATTAATTAGGCTCTGGAAGTTAGATCTTCAATTTAGCTAATGATATTCATTTGATGGCTTTTTCTTTAAGAATTTGCGCTTTTCTTTTAAGGGGAGAGCTTCAGATTTAGAGAGCGAAAGAGCAAATTTATGCTTTTACTTTTGCTGTGCTAGATTTAAATTGTTGCTTCTTTCTGTTTTTCTTATTTGTTTAAAAGAAATGTGACATAAAATTAGTTTAATTTCTTTTTTTTTGTATTTGTTTGTTGGTATTTTATATTATTACCCATGACTCAGGTGGATAACGAGGAAATGGAGCTATTTCTTTAGTTGCTACATTACTAGGCAACTCAAGTCTTCCACCTAATTTTCGTAGCTTTCTTCTTCTCGCCACCCGAGATTTCGATCTTAGCATCAATGCGGCCTGCATCTTGTTTGTTGTTGTTGTTTTGCTTGTTGTACGGTAAAACGGTAGTCGGTAACGGTAACGGTAGCGGTAACGTTAAAGTTAAAAAGTTCTTAAATTTTAAATAAACGTTTTGTGTTTAAGTAATCGATTTTTTCCCTTGGTTTTTGTTGCTATTAATTTGTTGTTCTGTTACGTAGAATCGGGAAATCGTATGTGTTGTTGTGGAGCGTGTAATTGAGTTATAGTTAATGTTAGAGTTTAGTTCGTGTACGGTACGAAATCAATGGGAGTGACACAGGTTACGTTTAGGAGCTTAAAAACGTCAAAACTAAAAGCAAATCGAAATTCGTTTCGTAGGTCGTTAAGAGATTCGATTCTTGTGTGGCTGCAACCAATTGCGTACCAAATTTATTTCGTAAATTGTTTGCTAGTATTATTGCTATGACAACGCAGCGTTACGTGGAACGTAAGAAACGCACGTTAGATAGGCACAAAGAGAAGGAGTATAGAAAATAGAAGCAAAGAGTATTTATCGAAAATATTTTTCAATGTGTGTTATTGTTGTTTGTTGCTGTTGTTGTTGTTGTTATTATTCTTATTATTGTTGTTGCTCAGAAACTGCGTCAGTCTAGGGCTGGCGCAGTTGAGTGGCGGGCGGAGGATGTGCTGCGTTGATCTCCAGTGGTCGGCCTGCTAGCTCCGTTACGTCGTTCTCTTTTCCAACGATGGTGCTTCTTCTTCCTTTCCTCCTGACTGCGATGGTGATGTTGATGGCGCTGTCGATGACGAAAACGATGGCAATGGTACTGCCACTGATCTTCTAGCCCTCGTTCTGCACTCCTCAATGAGTTCGCTGCCTGCTGCGTCTGCTTCTCTTGCTTCTGCTGCTGCTCTTTGTGACGTAATTGCGCGAGCGAAGAACGGGACAGACGACACATAAATGGCGCGTGACGTTAGAACTTTTCTATTTCACAGTTATAGTCTATGGCGTAGGTATTGTCTTCTTTTTCGTTTGTTTGCTTCTTTCTCACGTCTCTTTCGACTTGCTTACGTCGTGGCGCAGCGATAATGCTGATGCTACGTTGCGTTGACGTCGCACAACTTCGTGTTCGTAGGCGATTTCATCTTCGTTTGAATTTTGGCATTATAAGCTATAAACATTTATTAATATCTACAAGTTTCACGGCTGCTTCTTAAGTTATACGTAAGCGCTCTATGAAGTCGGCACTTGCGTTCCTTTGCCTTAATCTATTTATCATTGCCTATCGGAATTAATATTTCTAGTTCGGAGCGTAGAAAAAAGTTTTGCAAATTATTTAAGTCTAATTGCGACGCTAGTAGGTAAATACTTTGTTTTTAATTTGAATAGTTATGAGAGAAGGCAATGTCGTTGTTCAAAATTTATTGTTGAAGTTAGCTTGATTTTGTTCAATAATCACATTTGGTGCGTTTAAAGTTAATTGCTTGGGATTTCCGCCATGACTTTTATTTATTTAGTAGAAAAAATAGTTAAAGCTTTTTATTGTAGCGCTGCATTATCATTACATTAATTGTTATTAATAGTATAATTTGTAGCGTTTATAAAAATTAAACACATTTTTATTGCTATTTGATTTCGTTTGCTGCAATTTGCTTCCACTTGCTGTATTGTACATAATTTTAGAATATTTATTTTCAATTAGTTTTTATCACATTTGTTGCAGATGTTCTGTTTTATTCAATTATAGCACATTTTAGTAACTATTTGTGAGTCACTAGAAAATTGTCTAAGAAAGATAGAATATCATTATATAACTATTTTTTGATTCAGTTTTATTCATTTACGATTTATTTTCAGTTTATTTAATTTATTTATATTTCAGTTTCAAGCAATATTATTGCTTACAATTTAAATTATCAATTTTCGATTTGATTTGATTTATATTTTAAATTGAGTTTTGATTTGTTTTTAATAATTATATATGTTTTTCAGTCGGGAGTTTTTAAATATTTGTAAATTGATCTCACTTTATTTATTTGTGTTTCATATTGGCATTTAGTTATTGACAGAGTTATATTGCATTAAAGGATTTTGAAACTAGCATATATATCTTGCTTTTACTTTACTCATTTAAATAATGTGTTGAAGATAACAAACAACTTTGCAGCTTCGGTTTGTCTGTTTAAAATCCATTAATTCTACGCTTGGCCTGAATGGATATTGTCTACAATATTGCCTTAATTCATAATTAATTATTTGATTGCTTAAAAAGAGGCCTGTTGGCTTTCGAATAGACTGCTCCAACAAATAATAGTTTCTCAAGTCTGATATGTTTTATAATAAGTTTTTTGTTTGAATAGCTCAGCTATTAGCCATGTTCAATAATTTATGTGTGAAATATTGCATTTATAGGCGTTCACGCTAACGGCGGTGAAGCCATGTATTAAAAAGAATATACACTAAGGGGTTTTCAATTTCATAGCCGCAACTGCAAAACTAGTTCGTGCGAGGGCATAAATTATACTTGAACCCTATTAATAGTTGTGTAATTATTTTCACACCATTTCGCATTGATGTGTGTGGAGTTAAGTATAAGGTTCTAGAGCGATTATTGTGGAATTGTAAACTGCTCGTCAGAGCTGCTTAGATAATTCCAATGTTTTACTTCTTTAGTGAAATTGTTTTGAATTTTCACAAAATACAGTATTCAAACCATTTAAGCTGCAGTTGAATGCGAGTCTCACTCCCAGTTTTTAACTTTACGGTGAAATAAGCTTTAAGGCGAAAAACTAATAACAAAAAACGAAAATTCCACACTAATATTTCCCCCAATGTTTTTTCCTTTTATTAAAACCGAAACTGAACTTTTGACATCAATCAACAATATTTCTCATTAGCAAAAGCCCAGAACCAATATTTGAATGTCAATAACATTGACTTCTAATGAAATGGCAGAAAGTTTGCGCTTTGTTCGCATATATTATATAAACACTCAGAGCTTTGAATTGCATTATGGCAGCCAAATGAAATTACTCATTTATGTAGCACATTTTCACTTCCATTTCCCATGCACACTCCCACAAATCGAATCAGCGTTATTGTGCCTCAACGCCCCATTCAAGTCAAGTCGAGTGCAAAGTTTCCCGGCCGTTGCAAATCACTTGCAAAATCTTGTGAGCAATGCGAACATAGCAAATATTTATGGCATATAAGCCATGTCGCTCCACTGCTATGCCATAACTCAAATGGCTACACAAATGCAGAGACAGAGAGAGGGAGACACACATTCGTACAGGCAGAGGGAAGAGATTGCAGTATGTCCGTGCCCCAAAAATCAAAAAACCAGCAACGCACACACCCAGAACGAAAAGAAGAAAAAAATTGAAATAGTGGGGAGGAGATGCAAAAACTGCAGCTGCTGGAATTCATATGCAAATGCAGAAGCAGAAGTAGAAGCAGCGAGTAGTCGTGCCTTTTGTTAGTCTTAGTATGTTGAAGCAATGTGGGCTGGGGAGACGGACTGTGGCAACGCAGTCAGAATCATCGTTGTTGCTGCCACTGCTCTCTTCTGGCTGCTTGCTGCATGCTGTATGCTGCTTGTGACCGAAAATTTCAATAATTCAACAGCACAAAGCGGAAAAAGTCACTCGTTGAACGATGCAGATGAAATTTTAATGAAATACAGATTCATGCAAGAGAGCCGCAAACGCGCACACACACACTCACACAGTTGCATGCATGCATAACTCATACATATACATCCATTGCATATATGTATGTGCTACAAAGTGCATAGTCAGAGCTGGTGGTGGACTGAAGACTGTAGAAAATCATCGACTATAAGTCCTGCACTTATCGACTTCTCCAAATCAGAAGCAATAAAATATTTTAAAATAAAACTTAAATATATTTTTAAAATATGTATTGCTTAGGTTATGTAAACCAATCACTATATTTTGTAGGTGTGCAAGTGTTATACTTAATAAAGTTTTTCTTATTTCGGCAAATAAATAAATGGGGCGACACAACAACATGCACTTCATTTTTGAACAGGTACTATATAAGGAATTACCTTATACGTTATTTATAACAGGTCATAGAAGTTGTCTTAAAACAAACTCTTGGATGAGGATCGATATTATTGGTGAATGAATTGTTATTCATATTGTCAAGTAGACATTAATCCCTAAAATAATTGGTGATATATTATTAAGTGAACAAGTTAATTTTATGTGCTGCTTATCCTTTCACGTTCGCATCTCTTGTAATGGCCGCATGCCGTTAATAGACAATAGCATGGCAGTCACACACACACACGCACACAGAAAAAAGCATGCAGCTGCGTCGCGCTGACATAACAAAAGCTCACTGGCTCACTGCACTGTGTGCTCGTAACGCCTAAAAGATTGCTACATTTTGCAATTAAACACAGACACAATTGCACACAGCAGCCGAATGAATGTCCTGGCACTGACTTTGTGTGTACTTGTTGTAGTCGTCGTTGTTGCTTTTGTAAATGTTATTGTTGTTGCATGTACTACACATGTTGCAACTGACAGCCAGTCGGCAGCAACAACAACAACAGAAGCTACAATGTCATGCTGACAGCATAAGCGCATAAAATGTGCAATGAAAATTAATTTTGTGTATTATTTTTAAGAGCAAAGTGAATGCATAGTAAGGATATTTAAACTGTCGAAAAACAGTCTAGGAATTTAGTAAACAAATATTAAATTTCTGTAAAATGTCTTTCCGACTTTTTTCATTTTTTTCATAAATGTAATCCAAGCATTAATACCTAGAATCAATGTTTGTTATATCCTCATTTTGAAATAACTAAAATTCCTATCCATATAACTCCTGAGAAAATGATAAAGACGTTAGTATTTTAAGAATAGAAATCCGAAATGCCAAATGAATAAATAAAGTAGAAAACATAGTCATGTCCAGCAGCTTAATTCTAAATACGTATCGAAGCAGAACACTTTGTTCTGTTATTATAAATGCACTAAAATGTCTATTCATAGATGCCCTGAAGTATTGCATAAACTGCTACACTTTCAAGTCAGATTACATTCTATTTCCGTAAAATATTTGCATAATGCTAAATGCTTTGAGTCCTCGCATCCGTCATCGAAGCACCTCTAACCTTTTGCAAAAATATTTTTTGCTGCAATTTTATGAGTTTGCAGTTCACTTATAGGGAGAAATGTGCATGAGCGTATAATTTTTATTTTAAAATGTACACACACACACACCCACACACAGACTCATACACACGGTAAATAGCAAAAGTCAACTTTTACATTAAGATACGGTCTTGTACGAAGGCATTACACGGGTCAAAGGTTAAGTACATCAGTCGATGCGGGCTTAGCAGCTGACGTCAGGTGGCTAAGAGAAAATCACAATAAAGCAGGAAATGTAGCAAATGTAAAATAAATGCGACACTTCAAACTTTTAAGGACAAATATTTTATGCTCATTCCTAATTGTCTTAGGATTTTAGAACGACTTTGCATACAAATTGATGTTGTTTTAAATAATTCTAAATCACCAAACCATTTGAAGAAACCAAGGAATTACAGAATTAATTCAAAGTACTGTAGAAATTTTTAGAAATTAAACGTTAATATGTTTCTCATCATATTTTACATTGTTAAACAAAATGCCAGCCTTTTGTTATTGACAACTGATGAAGACAGCCCCCCATGCTCAAGTTTCCCCATCAGTTGACATTTTCAGGGCAGAACTTGTGTTATTGATTTGGTTTTCGCTTAGTGTAGGTAGAGCTTTGGCCGCCACGAACTCATTGACTTTATTCTGGAACTACAAAGTTCCATTGACAGAACGGGTTAATTAATGTGCAAAAGGCAGGTGTGTGTGTGTTTGTGTTGGCAGTGGCGCCACAATATCGCCAATTCAGTTGGCGCACCGCCCGATGACACACAGGTGAAGGAGACAAGCAGAGATACCCGTAGATGGGCGGGATGAGGTGGTGGTCGGCCAAACTACAAGTGTAATTAAAGCCAACGAGCGTCGCAGTTGGCAGAGACTCGAAAAATTTGCATATGTAGTATGCGATATGCCGTGAGAAACGGCAACAACTGGTGGCAGTTGCATGAAAGGGATGGGCACGGTTGTCATGTTATTTGATTGTTGACAGCCGCCATGGCGCTTCTTGTGAGGGCGTCTGTGTATGTGTGTGTGAATTAGCCTCTCTGGGTGTGTGTGTGTGGTTTGTTTGTTCGGGCATATCAAATGACCTTGTGTGTATGTGTGTGTGTGTGTTTGTATCTTGGTTAGCCGCACTTAATTGAGCAAAAATTAGTGCACTAATTAGCGCACAAT